TTTTACAGAAGTAGTTAATCATTAAAACAAATAGTGCTTTGGAATGGAAATTCTAACCCGTAAAACATACCATCTTTCTCAGTCTCAAAAACAACCAAAAGAATGAAAAACTTTGGATAATGGGCTATTTTATTTTCTCAAGACCGTTGCCTGGTACATGGAACAAATTAAGTCCACAAACTTTAGAGCTTCAATTCCAGATGTTTACCTATGCCTCTGAGGTACAAATCTATGCCCCAACTAGTTTAACACAAACTTTGCTTTTAACATATCTTCGAATTTTAAAACTTTCCATTTTATTATTTATCTTTTGTAAGAAAGTTAGAGAAAAACTCAAATTTTTAAAATTAAAAATGTTAACTTTGTTAATCTCTCTTTCACATCATATATATGTCTGCATGCTATGTATAATAAAAATGGTATGTATACCATATATATCTTGCCATTATATGTATATAATTTCCAATTTACTTATTTCTTTAGATTTAAACATTTCATCAGCAACACAACTCTTCTTTCTCTTAAATTATTAAATAAAATGCTCATCTGCTCATCCCTGTAGTGGAAATATATGGGAACCTCTCTAATTGATAGGATTTTGACAAAGACTTAAATCAGATAATGTATATACATTGCTTAGCACCAAGCAGAAGTTACAGGTAATAAGAGATAGAAATTAGCTATTATTATTATCAACTATTATCCATGATATTCATTTTATTCCAAATATTCATCCTTTTGGAAAAAGTTTCCTCTATGACAGAAAAAGTGATATAAAGGGTCACATGGCAAACAGTTTGGTTTGAAGAGGCTGCTCATAAAACATATATCTACTTGAGGTACTCTTGTATTTTTAACCATAGTTATATATTTTCAAATCATAGCTGGTATAATTTTAGGCCAAGTAGGGTGCGACAGCAAACAGAATCAAATTTCCAAATTGATGTTTCTGTTATATTAAATTATAAAGTAACCTTGAGGGTAGAAAGGCATACTTTGCTACTATGATAGACTGGATTCATTAAAAAGTGAGTAGAAAAGCAGGTTGTGCATTACCATCTATACACACAAACACACATACACATCCTCAAGTTTTAGAATTGAGATAAATATGTAACATTATAACCGTATTTTCAGGATATGCAACAATATAGTGGGGAAGGCACAGTGCTGGTTCTGATTTACATATGATCTTGCAATGGGTGCCAGAATAAGCCAGTAAATGCAGAGCTAGGAAGCCAGATTTGGGGAGTTTGTAGAACTAAGACCCTAGGAAGAGTAAGTATTCTAGTGCCTGGATTTCTTGGGGGGATATTCTAAATCAATTTTCTATAAAATATAAAGTTCTGTGAAACAAAACCACTCAATTTCATCATTAAAGCTTTTATTTTCATAAACGTGTCCTTTATTTTAATTTTTCATACAACTGAATGTTCTTTCATTTAAGAATGTCTTCTTAATCTCTCTCTCTCTCTCTTTTTTTTTTTTTTACTTTTGACATATAGTATTACACTCTAGATCAACATGTTTATTGAATTAAGACTTTATTTTTTGGGGGGTGCCTGGGTGGCTCAGTTGGTTAAGCATCTGATTCTTGATTTCGGCTCAGGTCAAGATCTCACAGTTTCAAGGGTTTGAGTCCCGCATTAGGCTCCCTCCTGACACTGTGGAGCCTGTTTAGATTCTTTGCCTCCGTCTCTATCTGTCCCACCCCACTCACATTGTCTCTGTCTCTCTCAAGCAGCTTAAGGTTCACCACAGAATTGAAGGAGAGGTACAGAGATTACCCATCTAACCCCTGTTCCCACACAGGCACAGCCCTCCCACCCCCCATTTATCAGCATCCCAGATTGACTGGTACATTTGTTACAACTGATGAACCTACATTGACACATCATAGTCACCTAAAGTCCAGAATTTGTATTAGGGTTCACTCTTGCTGTTCATTCCTTGGGTTTGAACAAACCCAGGAATTTATCCACCATCATTGTATTTTACAGAGTATTAGAACTGCCCTAAAATCCTCTTTGCTCTGCCTGTTCATCTCTTCCTCTCCCCCACAACCTCTGGCAACCACTGATCTTTTTACTTTCTTACAGTTTTATCTTTCCAGAAGGTCATATGTTGGCACCATACAGTATGCAGCTTTTTCAGGTTGGCTTCTTTCACTTTAGAAAACACATTTAAGTTTCCTCCATGTCTTCAGAAGGCTTGACAGCTAATTTCTTTTTAGCACTAAATAATATTCCATTGTTTGGCTGTACCATAGTTTATTTATCCATTCACCTACTGAAGGACCTCTTGTTTTCTTCCAAGTTTTGGCAATTATTAAACTTGTAAAAAAAAAAATGTGCAAGTTTCTGTGTTGATGTAACTTTCCAGATCCATTGGGTAAATACTAATGAACATGATTGCTGGATCATATGGTAAGAATATGTTTGGTTTTGTAACAAACCACCAAACTGTCTTTCAAAGTGGCTACACCATTCTGCATTCCCACAAGCAATGAATGAGAGTTCCTGCTCCTCCACATCTTCACAAGCATTTGGTTTTAGGTGTAGAGCTGAATCTCATTATTGTTTTAATTTAAATTTCTCTAATGATGTGATACAGAGCGTCATCTGTTTATTTGCCATCTGTATGTCTTTTTTGGTGAGATATCTGTTAGTCTTTGGCCCATTGTTTTCAGCGGAGTTGTTTATTTCATTATTAAGTTTTATACGTCTGTATTTTGGACTAACAGTCCCTTATCAGATGTATCTTCTGCAATTATTTTCTGTCTGTGGCTTATTTTCTCTTCTCTTGACAATGTCTTTCACAGAGAAGAAGTTTTTCATTTCAGTAAAGTCCAGCTTATCAATTATTTCTCCCACTGATTGTGCACCTTTGGTGTTGTATCTAAAAAGGCACCACCATACTCAAGATCATCTAGACTTCCTCCCATGTTATCTTGTAGAAGTTCTGTAGTTGTACATTTTACATTTAGGTTTTTGATATATTTTGAGTTCACTTTTGTTAAGAGTGAATTCATTTCTTTTAGATTATTTTTTGTTTGTTTGTGGATGTCGTGATTCTAGCACCATTAATAACAAACATCCTTTACTCCATTGTACTGGCTTTCTTCCTTTTTCAAAGCAAGAGTATACATACAGCTAAGTATATTTATGGGGCGGGTCTATTTCAAGGCTCTCCATTCTGTTTCACTGATCTATTTGTCTGTTCTTTCACCAATACTGCATGGTCTTGATTACTGCAGTTTTAAAATAAGTTGTCAAGTCAGGTAGTATCAGCCCTCAAGCTTTATCCTTCTCCTTCAAAATTGTGTTGGACATTCTGGCTCTTTTGACTCTCCATAGAAACCTCACAATCAGTTTGCTGATACACACACAAAAATCTGCTGGGATTTTAACTGAGATTGTATTGAAGCAACTGATCAAGGTGGGAAGAATTGACATCCTGACAATACTGAGTTTTCTTATCCATGAATTCTCTCTCCTAGTTCAACTTTTTTCAATCTGTGTTCAGTGGTAGGATAAAGCAAGGAGAAGTGCAAGAGCTTTTGGAGTATTCACCCCATATTCAACCAGAAGTCATGCTTTTATTTTTTTCATTTTTGCCTTCTATGGATTTTCTTTGAGCAGTGGTTTCTGAGGGTAAAAAATGCTCAAAATCCACTATGTTAGCAATTTTTTAAAATAATGATTTTTAAAGGCAAAGGAAAAAATATTTCTATTTTTTATAAATATATATGCATCTATATAACTAATACATCATCCTCTATACCATGTATATGAAAAATATAGATATATAAACCTTGATGAATACTAATTACAGAAAGTACACGTTGAGCCCAAATCCTTCATCTTTTGGGATCACATTCCTATTCAGGGTTATGATCTGAGTGAGTCATGAAGCGTATTTTCCATTCCATGATCACCAATTCTACTCTACTTCTAATACTTGAATTTATCCACCAAAAAGGTCCAAAAAGGTTACATTTTGAAAGAGTACCGATTTTGATGTCATTATCATTAACTGTTAACTAGAAAGTCAGAATAATGAAGAACTTAGCCAGGCCATTATGATCCAATGGGTCCATAACTAATTTTGTTTATCAAACCTATTACCTGAATATATGCCACTAATGATTTAGGTCTCAGTAGGTAAGTTATGCATTCATTTTAAAAATAAAAAGTGTTGAGGTCAGTATTTCACAATTCATATCAGTGAGTCATTTAGGTGTTTTTGTTTCAGAATTATGTTCCATTGGTTTGTCTTTACCACTCACCAAAATATAACTTTTCCTTTTTCTTAACCCCCTAAAATCTCTCAACAAAACTAAGTCATTTTCTATTATAACCCATCTCCAAAAATTTTAGTCCCACAGTATCTATATTCTTTTGGAAGACCTATTTGCTCCAAATCTTTTCAAAGTTTGTCTTTTCTTGCTATCTTTGCTTTCTTTTCTGGCCTTTCCACTTCCTATAAATGTAATGGGGAAATGGCACCCTCAGGAACTGAGAAAAATCTAGTTAATGAATGGGAATGGAATGGAAAAGTATATTTTTTAACTTTTATTCACAAAAGCAAGTACAATTTTAGTTAACTGTGTTTTAAAAGTTGTAGGGTATTGAGACCTGAAAATAAAGTATTCTTTAATGTATGTTGTAACTTTTTCTCTTCCAGTACTTTCCTTTATTTTACATTTTTCTAATCATACTATGCCTAGTAACTTCTCCATTGATTTCTAAAGCTGTGTTCTACCTCTCATCCTTTTATACTGTATGAAAACAACTCATACTCAACCCTTATCTTTATATTAATAATTCAGATAGTGTTCTGTCACTCCCAATGAGTGACAGAAATGAAATTTTAGGATCGTAGGTTAAAGTTATATGGATTGATCAAAGTATAACTCCTTACATGGGCTGTCACAAACATATTAATAACCAAACTCAAGCCATTTCATTGTATTATAAAATATAATTCATGTTTCTTACTTCTATTTCTACAGATTCATGTAGCTTCTTGCAGGTGGCTGAGAAAGTTTCAGATGTGCCAAACTCAAAATACCAAAATTTGTTCTTCATTCTGAAAAAGGAAAGGAAGAAGCAACTTAGGCAATTATCAATAACAGAAGGGATTTTTTAAAATTGAGCAACCCTGTCTTGTATTATAAATCATAAAAAAGGTTTGAGGGAATATACCGTCTATAATCTAATAGATGATCACATAATTTTCAAAGCTGAAATGCTGGTGTCAAATTATATGATTGTGCCTGAGGGAGTTACAAGAATATGTTGATCTGAGAGATACAAGTGTATCTTTGACTTTTCTATATATTGGTTGCTCAGGTTTTAAAATACGATTTTAGGGGCGCCTGGGTGGCTTAGTCGGTTAAGCGTCCGACTTTCGCTTAGGTCATGATCTCACGGTTCGTGGGTTCGAGCCCCGCGTCGGGCTCTGTGCTGACTGCCAGCTCAGAGCCTGGAGCCTGTTTCAGTCTGTGACTCCCTCTCTCTCTGACCCTCCCCTGCTCACTCTCTCTCTCCAGAAATAAATAAAAAAATAAAAACCTTAAAAAAAATTAAAATACAATTTTAATCCTTATAATTCTTAGCTTGTTCATAGACAACTTGATTTAGACCAGCCACTCTGTAATTCTGACGGGAAAAAACAATTGGAGCTTTTTATGAGAAAAATGAGACTAAGCTAACTATGCTAAATTTTTCTAGATGGCTATGTATTCATCAGAAATCAGCATGATTTCTATTCAGCATATTGAAAAGAATTAAAAAAAGTAGTTATCCCTAAAGATAAAATGTAGTAACTTTAGGATAATCATTTATTATTTTTTAAAGACAGTACCCTCTTTTCTGTTAATAGTAGTGAGAAATTATGATATAATATGGAAGAACAAAAGACATAGTAATAGTATTTTATCAGTTTAACAAAAGTTGCAAAAAAAGGTAGTTTAAAATATTTCAGTATATAATCTGGAAGTAAGATGCCCCAAATTTATTTTCTCCCACGACCCAGTAACCCTATCTATTTTTGTGCCAGGGAAATTTATGATCATTTAATGTAATTTTACAAAGACTGACTAGATTTTTACATTACCCAATATTGGATTTAAAAATTCATTCTCATGAAAATCACTGCAATTTTTAAGTATGCGTACTTTACAAGGTATTATGCCTTCAATCGGAAGAAAATACAGGTAAAATGAGATATATTTTCACACATATTCAAATATATCCCTCATATGAAATTATTCTTTTTGGCTTACAAATACTGATATGTGCTTTTCACATTAGAATGTAAAACATTTCAACAATTAAAAATACATTTGGAAAGGACATTACTTAACTGAGTCCTAATATTAGTTCTGGAAAATGACATGGTTCCTAACACAGTGTTTATTATTACACTGTGTTGAATAAAATTCTCTGATAAGAAATTAGACATTGCAAAACTAATTTCATCCACCTAGACATATTCAATAATATTTAGCCTCATACAAGGTCTTATTTACTTACAAAATTTTCACTAGCCCTTCTTGTACCAGTCATCACATTGAGGCAAGTAACTTGAAAGTTTCCTATTCCTAGGATTCTAGGACCATGAATCCTTATTCTTTTCTAGAGAATATTTTCCTTGAGTTATGGCCTGAGTCTATATACATGAGTAGCTAAAAACAGATGATAGCTAATTAGATAGAACAGGGGTAAATGTTTAACAACATGATCTGTGGGCCTAAGCCTATAGGCAAATTTACATTAAAGTAATGCAAATATTTACTTAATTGAATATATGAAGTTTTACAGATTTACACATTGTCTGAAGTTATAAAAATTAAAATATTTTTCTTACTGATTCATCATTCTGATGAAAACATGTCATTCAATAAACTGAGAGGGAAATACCGATTGTATATGGTAGTTTCTAGACGACCTTAGGATGATAATAAGTACACGTTTTATGACGGTTTGGAATTGTCCTATATTTGGCAAGTTTTCTAATAACACCTTTGTGTTAGCATTTTACCCAGACCTTGGACTCATTTATTCATCCATTCATTCATTCAACAAATATTCAGGAAGGACATGAACTTCCATATACCACTGTGTTAACTTCTAAATATGAACACAATTCTCTTTGTTTCCAGGGAGCTCAGAATAAGACTTGAGCAGATGAAGTGATTGAAAAGTTAATTCTCTATATAAAATATGAGCAAAATGTTATGGGGAAACATTTTAGTGAGGAAACTACTTTTCCCCGGTAGAGTCCAGAGAGCTTCAGAAGAGAAGGTGACATTTTAATAGGTCAGAAGAAGGTGGAAAACAAGGAAGAAAAACAAGTTCTGGGCAGTTTTAGGTGTGCAGAATGACTTAAGAGAATGCAGGATAGGGGCTAATAAGGGTTTGTTTCAAAACATGTACGTCAAGCTAAGGGGTTTGGAGTTGAAATTCTAGATTAATAGGATGTTGACACTAGTCGAGTGACATGGCTAGTTCTGTTATATGAGCAGTAAGTTTAGCTGAAATGAATAAAGGGGCTAAAATGTTGAAATGCTAGTCATGTGAGCAGAAATGTGGCTATTGGAAGAGTACAAATGAACTACAAATGAAGGGCTAGACCGTGTGGCAAGGGAAATGGAGAAAAGAGGCTCAATACAAGGGCATAAAGGAAGTAGTATCAATAGGAACTAGTGGTATTAGATTATATTAATTACTGTCATACCAAGGTTATTATTTCTGGATGTACATGTGGGAATACCAGAACATGACTCCAGCAAAGGAAGAATGTAGGTTTATATTATGACAGGTTCTGTGATCTAAAGTATATCACATGGTAGTATGAAAATTAAACATGTAGAGATGCACACACACACACACATACATATACATACATGACACTGCTTATATTACTTATCAATGATTATTCCCTATTTTGTTTTCCATTCTGTCCATCAAAACTCTTCATAGCTTAATTAGGATGATGGAGGGCTGGTATCAGCTAACGAAAATATACCAACTTTAGAAAATACATCTCCCAAAAAAGATACTCTGAGAATTTACATTCAGCCTTTATTCACCATATTAGTTAGCATTACTGCTCATGTGCAAGAGCTGCTTTAAATTCTCCATTATTACAACCATTTTATGTTTCACTTAGATAAATATATGGAGGTAATAAAAACCACATAGAATCAGACTCCACATGACAAATTAAAAGCTGTTAAATTTTATTTTTTCAACCAAACTGGTCTTTAGGTTGTAGAAATGCAAAAAAGCACATTTAAGTATGTATGCTATTTACTTTTACGACTCACATTAGAAAATGATCCAAATAATTCAAACTCAAATTTGCCAGAGAAAACATGTAGCTTGGGACTTTAAGAATAAAGTAACTGGACATTTACCACACTGTGAAACATCCACACCAAACTCAAATTTATTGTACTCTTAGACAGGTTTTGTGGCTGCAGGTATGATGACGAATGTTCTACAAAAAGTTATCCATATCTTATCATAATTTTAATTCATTAATATACTAAACTCTATTTCAATGAATTTAATTGTAAGTCTACAGGTTTCAGTTCAATATTTAACGTGCTTGGCTACCAGGTGTTCAGATAAAATTTTTAAAAATTAGCTCACATTTATCAAGATCTTCTTCCTAACAGCCACTTTGCTCATTTATGTATCTTTAAGGAAATGTAAATGATCAGAGATTTTGTTCAAGCAAAGAATCATACTCGTTATTATGAAATTGAGGTAATATTTAGTTCTCCAAGTTCAAAACTTTCCAATAGGTCGTTTCATTTCAATATAGTTTCCTTGGATTTTTTTTCCTCCTCGTGTACATGATTTTTTGATTTGTCTTTTGTCTGCTATGTATTCTAAATGCAGCAAACATAAAACAAATGGAACATTAATTGCTAGTGCATTTCCTACAAAGAATAACAAAGTGCCTAATTAGATATAAAGATCATTTCTAATAAAGTAGTAGCATAAAGAGAAGGGGCAAACAGGCTCATTTATCTTACTGTAGAAAGCTCAGAAGTCATAAACACAGAGAGTTGTTAATTCAGTAAAATTACTCTTAAATTAAAGGTCAGCTTTTTTTTCTCACAGATGTCTTTCTTTTATATTATATATATGTATACATAATTATTAACATATTACTATGTAATATGCCTACATCTGAAAAGCCTTCTATTAGACACCTGAACCCCCTTTTCAAGCATCCTTAACTAAGGAATTCTATCCATATTTAATGGATAACATACTCATCAGATAAGAAAATAAAACTCTTGATCACTGCTTTCTAATATGAAAGTAAAAACAATGCCTTAAGTAGCTTAGTTAGAAAAGATTTAAAACCAATAGGCTTTTGTATCCATTAGGAATGTTTCAAAAATCTCATCTTTTTCATTAGCTTTCTCTTACTTTTGTCCTGTTATGAAAATATTTCAACAGTTATGTCAAATCTGGCTTGAAAATCACTTTCTCATGGAGAACAACATTTCTAACAATTCATTAACTATAATGGTAAGATTCAGTCTCACAATTCAATGGAATATGCTAGGAACACAGCAGGAATTTTGAACTTGGCTAACAGTATCGGTGATAAGAGATACAGCACTCCTGGCTCATAGCAATAGGGTAAGTGTTTCGAGTGGCGCATTTATGTCATAGAATCAATTCAGTTTTGTTTTTCATTACCAAAACCCATGGACACTAAACATTGGTTATAGGGTTACTCACTTCTTACCTACCAAGCTTAGTGAGGTATTATTTTCAAAAATACACAAGCCAAGTGGTAATGCCCTGGTGGGGCCTGATTTTCTGGGCAGTCCAGCAGTGTCTGAGAGTTGCAGCTCCAGGAAGATGATGCACCCAGGGGGAGGGGCTGCAAACAGAAGGCGGGCAGGGCAGTGGGGCCTTGTTAATGCAGCAACCATAGGTTAACACAGGGGGCAAGGCTGGGGACACTTGTAATTTATGCTGTTTGTCACTTCTTAACATTGGCAAACTCATCTGCACGGACTACATACAGTAACAAGCATTTTTCAAGAACG